CTCAGCCTCAAGTAGCTGGAACTATAGGCGCGCGCTACCACGCCCGGCTAATTTTTTGATTTATTATAGAGATGAGGTCTCGCCAAGTTGCCCAGGTGGGTCTCGAACCCTCGGGCTCAGGCATCTCCCTTTATTCTTATAGAAAGCTCAAGATTTGTGGGCGTCAGCTGAAGGGATTGGGCCAACACCCCTATTCCCACCCCAGTCCATTTAAAGACTTTGTTTCTGGCCAGGCAAGGATTTGTATAGTGTTTGATTTTTATATAGTGTGAACACTTTTTTAGCTCTTTTCTCTCTGACTCCAAATTCTGATCCCCAGGACCACCAAAAGTTCCAATCTTAACTGGGGTACTGGCATACCTCCCTTTTCTGCCAGGCCCTGGCTGTCCCAGCAGAGTTTACAGCTCTTGGCTGTTCCCCCCTGCCCTGCAGGTCCCTGCTTGCAACTCCCACCATTACCCCATGACCTCAGCGCTTTAGCCTTGCCCAGCCCACCACTCTGGCTGAGCAAAGTTGGAGGCTTCCTCAGAGAGCAAACTCCCTGACTTGAGCTGGGCCCCCGCAGGGGGTGAAGCGAGCATGCCTGTCAGGGCTTGCCCACTGCCTCTCACCTCTCTCTGCAATATTTTACCATATCTCCACATACTCAGCTGGCCACTGGCTTCCAGCTTTTAATGAGGAAAGGGCAGATATCGGTGCTGCAGTTTAACGGTCTCCTGGCCAGGGGCACTGGCTATACTCTTTGTGTTAGGACAGGTTCTCCTGATTTGTGCAGATATATAAGTAGGGTCAGTGTGCGTGACAAGGGCCATCACCTCCCTAGGCCTGACCATCAGGGACCATTCTTTGTGGCCCAAGAGCAGATGGTGTCATTCTGGTGCATCAGACACTAATGGGGAAGGGTGGGGCGGGTGTGAGTCTGACAGAAAAACAAGGGAGGGGGAATAAGCATGAACTCAACTTCATGCTGACTCAGGTTTTCCTCCACCCCTTACACCTGAGGAGTGCCCGGGAAGTGTGGGCGGCTGTGGCAGTATAGATGGCTCATGCATACCCTGCCTTTGGGAGGTCTCAGCTTCCAACTAGACTCCAAGGAACCAATTGTCTTTGACTGCCCATCTTTCCCTGTCCAGAGTTCCATGGCCTGGATGAGGCAACCCTACTACGGGCTCTGCAGGTCCTACAGCAGGAGCACAAGGCCGAGATCATCACCGTCAGCGATGGCCGAGGTGTCAAGTTCTTCTAGCAGAGACCTGTCTCCCTTTACTTCTTACCTTCCACCTTTCCAGGGCTTTCAAAAGGAGACAGACCCAGTGTCCCTATGGACTGGATCTGTGACTCCACCAGACTCAAAAGGGCTCCAGTCCTGAAGGCTGGGACCCAATGATGGGTTTGTCACATGTCACATGTGTCTGTCCATGGGACAGGGTGAGGCCAAGGCGCCAGGGAGAAAAGACGTGCTTCTTCTTGCCCTACCTCCGCTCCCATCCTAGACTGTCCCTGGGCCAAGGTCTGTACATCTAACACTTGACATGTGCTCACACATGCACCTGCACATGCTTCTGTCTCCTCCCCCTCGCACCCCCATAGCTGCTATTGCCTCCCTTCTCAGGCTGGTGCTGGATCCTTCCTAGGGGATGGGGGAAGCCCTGGCTGCAGGCAGCCTTCCAGGCACTATGAAGATAGGAGGCCTGCAGGCCTGGCAGTGAGGCAGGGCCCAACACTGATTTACAATATTAAAATCTTGACTACCACTGTCTGCCTCTTAAATGACTACAGGCCTGGAATGGGGTTGGGAGGGCTGTGAAGTGTTACTACTTGAATGAAGCCCAGCCGAGGAGGGAAGAGCAAGCCTGTAGCCCCACGGCTCCAGTGCGCCTGTGGTTTTACATTAAAAACCTGATGGGCTGTGTGGAGGAGTGCTGGTGGAACACAGCTTGCTTTGGGACAGACTGCTTTCTCTCCGAATTGGAATCACCTAGTGGCTCCCCCTTCCCCCACGTCTCCCCCTTAAAAGTCCTGAACTACCCTGAAGCCCCTCCCCACATCTATCTGGTCTGGGTGGGGTAGTTGTGGCCTAGGGTAGGTAGAGGGGGTGAACCGGATGTGGACTTTGGTTTATTGGAGACTTTGGCAAACAGAAGGGGAGGAAGGAGAACCCACAGAGCCAAAACAGCCACTGCGGCCAAGGTCCGGTGGAGGGGATGGAAGACCGGGCAGGCTCTTGGCTTGAGAAGGGATTATACCGGGAAGCACACCACATCCCTATGCAGAGCAGAGGGACAACAGCGTCAGACCCACCGACCCCTGTGTGTTCGCCATGGGGCTATTCCCGTTGATTGGAGAGGGTGGTGGTGCCTTATCTGGGGTGTGCAGGCGGGTAGTGGCCTCCCCCTACTCCTTCCACTAGGACCTGGGAGCGGCGAGCACGTTTCCTCACAGTTCCAGAGTCGTCGTCGATCCAGTGCCCCCGCCCCCCGGCCCCCAAGCAGGTTTGCCCTTTCTCACTTGGTGCAGGAGCACACTACGCCTCGC